ACCCGATTGCGTGACTTATGGGGTCACCCAAAACGTATGGCGTACTGCAGAAAGTATGTATGATAATGTATATCGTAGGTCAATGCAAATATGGTCAGTTAGCTGCGAAGTCGCAAAAGGCAAGTGTTACGATTAGCAATCTTGCTGCTTTTGGTGCCGAGGGTGACAACGGATTTCCGACTGCGGTTAGTCAGAAACATCACACGACAAGCTAGCCCGTACATGGCCTTCGTTATAAGTACCTCAGAGTAGCCCAGCAACGCATCCAAATATATTTGTAAAGACTTGTCGCCCACCTGATTGCCATTTATCCAACATGCCAGTAAGCTGGAGACCTGATAAGCGTTTCCAAGCGTTTATGAACGAAGATGGTTATATACGCCAGGTGGAGCGGAAACGTTGCTATCAAGGCAAAATCTTTAACGACAAAGGCTGGCTTAGAGAGCAAATCAATGAAGATGATCAGCGCGAAATACACGAGGTTGAAGGAACTTTGGAAGTTCAAAGGCAGCTCATGTATAGGCTAGCAGTGCACGAGAATCAGGTGATAGCAAAACCTGGAAGCAACAAGCACCACAGGCGTCTTGAGGCCTTGAAGGCAGACACGGTCCAAGCAATACAAACGACGTGGAACCAGAGTAGCAGGTCTACCGTCTACCAACGGTCGTTCTATATGTAGCATTAATACAAGTATAATTTGATCATACTTTCGCTGTCTAAGTTAACGTCACCTTGGAGAGATTAAACACTTCCACTCTGCACTGTCTTGTTCTTTCTCTAACTTATAAGAGTGTATCAGCGTGCGCGACAAACCCAGCACAATTTGCGAAGACTCGCCGCTGTAATTTCGAGTATACATAACCAGTCTGCGCTTACCTGATCATAAGCCTCTAAATATGCCTGTGGACTGGAGACCCGAGAAGCCTCTGCGAGATTTTATCAGAGACAATAGCTATTCTCGCCAGACTGAGCAGCAGGAGAGATATCAGGACAGTGTATTCAACAACAACAGTCATATCAGGGAACAGACAACCAGAAAAAATCGGCATGATATATAATGTCGATCCAGGCGTGCCAGGACGCACGGTGTAACGGGACGCTTTCTCTTCCGGACCCTCGGATTGTCCTTAGTGTTGTTAAACACAGAAAAGTGCAATACGCATCTATTCTGCACCTCTTGTTCTTCTAGCACATTAGTCTCTGACAACCAAAAGCACGTTGTTGGCTATGCTATCGCCCGTTATGTTAAAGCTGTCGACCAACCCTTCTATAACACTCCTCTGTTTGTTCGCGACGGTACCTATCTGTAGAGAGCTCGATGGGCTAGAAAAGAAGCTGGGATAGCAAAGGTTAAGACTGCAGCGTCAAAAGGCCGATTTAGGGTAAAGAGTGTGCATCCCGACGGTTTCTCCGTGTAGACGGCAAGATTGTTAAAACGCGTCCTAGAGGACGTGCGCTGTTAGTAGCATTCGGCATGCAGCTATCTTGCGGTAGCGTGCTCAGGTATCTCCATGTGTAGCGGAAGCGTCCGATCATCCTCAGTCATTCGATCTTGCTGTTCATGCGGAGAAACTGCCGGGATGCGCATTTTCCAGCTTCAATCTATCTTCTACATCTGCAGTCTTAACCTTTGCTATCCCAGCTTCTTTTCTAGCCCATCGAGCTCTCTACAGAAAAGTACCGTCGCGAATAAATAGGGGGGTGTTAGAAGAGAGTCGATCAACAGCATTGGCAGAACGGGCGACAGTAAAACTCACGAAACGCTTTTCGGTTTCGCAAGCTAAGATACTAGGATAACGAGAGCCGCACAATGGATGTACGCTAGATCTGTCAATTTGCAGGCGTAGTGAGAACATTCCAAGCGCCCGAAACAAAAGGTGTCCCGTTACACCGTGCGTCCCGGTACGCTTGGATCGACATTAGGCCTGCTTATCGCTATCGTGGCTCAATAGCGATTCGTCTCTAGCCTACCACTAGGTATTATACTCGTACCTCTACAATGATTGTGCATCCAGTATCGCTTAAGACTATATTGTTCTGACAAGTGTTCGGGCCCGATTATAAGCGTTCGCTAGAAGGTAGAGCTAACTCTATTTACTGCTCTAGAATAGTGTGCGACATAGGCTAAAGAATCTAAAAACATTCTGTCACGATGTTCCAGCCCCACACAAGCCACCAGGGGCGCCTTCATGACCCCGTCGGCCCCCACGGGTTGGAGTCACGTGCTGTAGGTATATATGATCTCTCACGAAGCCTTGATTGCTCCTCAAGGATTCGTCTCAATGTAAGTCTATACCTATATCTTCGTGCCTGTCCACATACTCCTCACACATTCCTACCAATTCTTCTTTATATTAGAGTCTAAAGACATCGAATTGAGCCTGCAAAATAACGTGTCGCCAATCTGAATCCTCTAAGTTAGCATGAGGATTCTCTTGAGCTATCCAAAGCTTAGCGATAAGGTCTTCTAGAACTACTAGATTCCTGAAACCAAGTCTGCGCTGAGATTGGAACCAAGCCTGCATCCGTCTCTGCACAGCTAAGACACTACACTCGGCTCCCAGAATTAGCACAGGCCACAACATCAAACATCCCAGTGCATCCCCCCCGACGCGATTGAGAGATTCTAGCTCCTGTACACCGAGCTCCACGAGCTCCTGTACCGATACCAATGGTGCGCGACGCACACTTCGCTGAAAGAAAATAAGTCCAGCATAGAAGAATGCTTTGGAAGTATGATGAATTAATATATCATGTGTTGCGTTAGTCGTTGCCAAGCGTGGGCTACGTTGTGGAAGACCTGGAAAGTCGAGATAGAGCTGCAGCTCAAAGGAGTTGAACTCTTTTTCTTGCTGGATCGTTCTCACTGCAGACGCACCCGTTAGTAGACCGTTGATGTGGTCATGAGCTCGCAAAAAGGTTCTAGAGACCCCATAATATGGGAAGGTAAGCTCGAGGCCATCGGAAGAACCACTTTTGTCGTCCAAGAACTGTTTAAGATGATGCGGAACTGGAAAACCGCATAGTATCGCCATTTTGACCATGTGTTGGCGGAAAGGGGACAACGCTGCTTCGTCCAAGCCTTGGGTTTGCAGTTTGGTAAGGTAAGCCAAACCACCAGAGACGTGCGTCCGCCATCGCTGGGTGGTGCCAGATACTGCTTCGATGGCAATACACGCCATTATGGCCATGGCGAAGGACTGGTCTCGATGTTCGTCGGCACGTGCCAGGTTATGACGAAGATGGTGAAGGGCCGCATCGTCATGATACAAAGCGAGAACGCGATCCTGATCGCTAGTCCGGCCGGTGAGCTCGTACAAATTGTACGCCGCGGCTGCGCAGATGGCGTGGAAAATGGCGACGTCAGCGTTCGAGGTTTCGAGGTGTGTAACGAGCCCTTTTAGAGCCATCGGCAACATCAATGTACGACAGGGGTTATGCCGTTCGTCAATAAGGACTAGTTTGCGGCTGGTGAAAGTGATCCAGTGGTGTATGAGCCGTTTTTGATTAGCCGGCATGGGAAGGGAATCCAAATGGCGAGGTGGGGCGTGCCAGACTTGATTCCCAGAGCTCTGAGACGTTTGGGCAGCAAATTCTAAGTCATCTTGATAGTTGTCAACAGACTGAACCACGGTATCGACTGCATCGTCGTACGTCAGAGATTCTGTCCGAAGGGGAGGATTCGTATGTCGGCTAGTAGGCGGAGTTGTCTGTGGTTCTGGGGTCGAACGACGTGGTAGTAAACGAGGTGAGCATGTGTCTGTCGTCTCGGTGTGATGGAGCGCAAATGATTTCGACGTGAACACGCAGAACGCGCCTTGTTGCAATTCTGAAGCCTGTCCCGGACACCACTCGTCGATTGTAGTCAATGTGGCATCTAGCTCCGCTGAGTCCAAAGGTGGAAGAGGTATGAGAGCATTATGTGAAGCCAAGAGCCGTCTGAACCCCCTGGGCTGCGGCTGGTCGGAACGGCCAAGGAGGCTATAATCATGACCGTAGTTTGCTGTGTCGTGCGGACTGTACTGTATCCAGTTGAGTCGGACGCCATAACCTTCGCAAGCAACACCAATTTGGCGACAGCGTTGGCACGAGGGTGCTTCCCTGTGCACAAAGGAGACTCATTAGCTATGATCAGCTTGTGATATTTGCTATTATGCGACTCACTCGTCGCACTTGACCCGGCGCGAGCGGCAGGTCCAGCACCCGGTGAAGCACTTCCTGCGTTGCTTTCTCATGCTTGTATCGTAGATGTCGTCTCCCAAGGCTGAAAGTTGGGGCGGTTATGCTCGCTCATCGAATCGCTCCAACTTGCTGTGAGTCGAGGAAAGGGGCTGTCGAATTTCCGATTGTGGCATGACGCCCGTCGCTGGCCTTGGTGCGGCCATAGCTCCTCGCCATCTCCTTCACGATCCGCCTCGCCTCGCCTCGCCTCGCCCTCTGCGCAACACGCCCTGTGCTAGTATCACCTCATCAGTCCAGACTCGTTTGTCGTGCAGATGGTCGAGCTGCTGTGCAGGATGGCAGGGCATAGGGAGTGCGGCTCCAGTGTGATGTTTCGGTTGGTGGCGCAAAACGGCCTCGTGTTTGCGGTAACGTCCGATTGGCTCGCTGTGACCTGCCAGCCAGCGCCAACCCCGTTTTCTCCACAGTTGCAACGGCTCGCTGTGACCTGCCAATGTTCTTTGACATAACTGCTAGAAATGGCAAGCTGGACTTCTAAGGTTACGGACCGTTGCCGTTTGTGGTGTACAAGCATTCTCGATATGACAGACCTTCTTAGCAAAGCGAAGGCTTTGCTGAGGTCTGCTTGCATATAAAATTGAATTCCTTTTGAGTTCAAGTCAAGCATTTCCTTGTCCATCCAGGTGACAGCTAACCTTGGACCTCTTACAATCTTACATCGAGTTGCGCAATATCTCAGAATGTCCTCAACGACCACAATTCGGAGAGCAAATTGGGCGAAAAGATTGACTGTTCCAGCCTCATCCTCGCAAGAGACTATGCAAAGTCCCAAGTATACCGATGGCGAGAGTGACGAGTTTGAGTTCGGGGGCTCTTTCGGTGCAGCATCGTTAATGATTGGTTTCCCTCTTCTCATGTGGTATATGTGGATTGGCGCCACTTACTACGATGGTCGATTCCCCATGCCTACCGATGGTCAGACGTGGGAGGACTTTGCCTACCAGTTGACCACGCTCGTCTACGAAGGAGCCTACCCCACAAGAAAAGCCTGGGCTACGTACTGGACTTTTTTTGTCCTCGAGGCACTCATGTTAGTTACTGTTCGCTTTCTCTACTAGATGACTTTTTTAGACTAACGCATAATAGGTACTGCTACATGCCCGGTGTGTTGAGCCAAGGTCGACCTCTGCGTCACGAAAATGATAGGAAGCTTCAGTACTATTGCTCTGCCTATACCAGCTGGTATGCAACTTTGATTCTCGCCGGTATGCTGCACGTCACCAGAATCTATCCTTTATACACGCTCATCGATGAGTTCGGAGCTATCATGACGGTGGCAATCCTCTCTGGCTACCTGAACAGCATCATCGTGTATGTCCAGGCCATTGCTCGCGGCCGAACCCACCGACTCACTGGATACCCAATATACGACTTCTTCATGGGCGCTGAACTCAACCCTCGAATCGGAATACTAGACTTCAAGATGTTTTACGAGGTCCGAATCCCATGGTTCATCTTGTTCCTTATCACTGCATCTGTATCCGCGCGCCAGTATGCTATGTACGGCTATGTCTCTATTGAAGTCATCCTCTTATCCGCGGCACATTTTATGTACGCTAATGCCTGTGCCAAGGCCGAGCAGTTGATCATTACGTCCTGGTAAGTCAATAACTAGGGAGCTGTGTTAGTAAGCACACGCTCCGTACTTGATAAGAATGTTCTCATGTGTAGCTCTCTGGCTGAAGGCTTGCTCTTACTTCAATACAGGGATATGTACTTCGAGAAGTTAGGCTTCATTCTGACTTTCTGGAACATGGCAGGCGTGCCCTTCACCTACTGCCACTGTGCGCTCTACCTCGCAAACCACGACCCATCTGAATACCGATGGAGTAAGCCCACACTGGTGACTTTCTCGGCCGTCTACCTATTCATGTATTGGATGTGGGACTCATCAAATGGCCAAAAGAACTCTTTCCGCCAGCAAGAGCGCGGCCAACTTATCAAGCGCAAGGCGTTCCCTCACATGCCTTGGACGGTTATCGAGAACCCGCGTGTTTTGGAGACGAAAGCAGGCGATCGCATACTGATCGATGGGTGGTTCCGCATTGTGCGCAAGCCCAATTATGTGCCAGACATGTTCTTTTCCATGTCTTGGGGCCTCATTACCGGATTCAAGTAAGTGACATCTACAGTTCTTACGGCCCCATCTGCCAAAGCACCCAATAATGAACTAGAATTTACATGCTGACCAGAGGTTGTGTGGTACCTTAGGAGCCCATTCCCTTGGTTTTACTTTGTCTTCTTTATGGTCATGATAATCCATCGGGCCCGCAGGGACATTCAGCGATGTCGCAGGAAGTACGGCGAGGCGTGGACTCAGTACGAGATAGAAGTACCCTACTTGTTCATTCCAGTAAGTACTATAGCTTTAAGATAAAGATTCTATAGATATACTTCTAACATCTTATTAGTATATTATCTAGAAGAACTATTAGCCCTAGGTAGAATTTGTTTAGATTAAGAAACTACACTTTACTATTTTGTTGTAATTTAACGTACTTCCATAGCGGGTCGGTCAGCCTAGCAAGTCGGTCACTCTGCCAAGACCTTACCAAAGGTACGAACAACTTGCAATGCCACAACGTAGAAACGTAAAACAGACCTATAACGAGAGAGACTTACAGAGCGCCATTTAGGCTTTAAATCAAGATGCGAATCTATCCCAACGACGCGCTGCAGCGATCTTTACCGTTCCTCAAACCACCCCTAGCGACCAACGCGCTGGGACTACCTCTTGACGCGATTGTGCGCCCAACTCAATGAAGCTTACAGCCAACGAAGAGATAGTAGTTATTTAGCATATATTGAAGTTAGGGGAGCAAGGCTATCCTCCTTAGCTTGCTGATATAACGTTCATGGCCAATTTATTGCTCGCTGAGCGCCACCGGGACCTAGTTAGCCTAAAGTGGGCTAACGCCTTCGTCAAACGCCAGCCAGAGCTCCAAGTCAGGTTCAACCGAAATTATGACTACAAGAGAGCTCTCTATGAAAATTCTGGTGTCGTTCGAGACTGGTTCCGGCTTGTACAGAACACGGAAGCCAAGTACGGTATTACTGACGGAGACACCTACAACTTCGACGAGACGGGCTTTATGACGGGTGTTATATCAACTAGAGCAGTCGTTACAGGTTCCGACAGTCGAGGACATCTGAAGACGGTGCAGCAGGATAATCGAGAGTGGGTTAGGGTTATCTAGGGCATTAACGCGACGGGGTGGACGATTCCACCCTTCCTTATCTTTGCTGGCAAGCACCACCTCTCTGCTTGGTGCTAATTGAGCGTCGCGCCCTCTTTCGACTACTGAACTGGACATTAGCTACTTAGGCGATAGAGTGGCCCGCACAAGCTTACCGGTATTGTTTCCTGGCTCGAATTACGCAACCCTTGCCAATCTCTGTGCACTTTGAGCAAGGAATTCTGGTTGAATCAACATCGCAGCGGATCTTATGATTGTGGCAGAATTCGCAAACGTTGACTGCCCGTTTTCTCGGCATGTTCGGTATTTTCGGTTGTTTTGTGGATTGGCAACGAGGCGATATTCAAGCAGGGCGGAACGTCCGGAAGGATCGGGGCGCAGCGATATAACATGCTAGGGTGGTGGTAATTGCACAGCAACGAGCCTGTGAGGAGTTCAACACGAACAGTTTAGCTTCTAAAAATAAGATCTAATCCTTGTAGTTGGTTACAATTCGAAAGGCTGCTGCCTGTTCTGACGTTATTAGTATTTGTGGTAGCCAAGATGCGACTGCCTGATCTGGCATAGTGAGCAAGGATAGACCCTGTCACTCACATTGATCCTGTGAAACGATGGCAAGCAATGATCGGACTCATTAACCCGCCGACCCTGTGCTAGACGTGTCGTGTCTGTGCGCGTAACGCCCGGATTTGCGTAACGCGGCGTTGTACGGCATACATGTTTTTAGTGCTTACAGTTAACGTGTTCCACTATCAGCCGACGCACCTTTACCAAACCATAACTCCCACTACTACTAACCGCGATGCCTTAACAACCTAATCTTAAATCGCTCTCTTGTTAAGATAGAGTCATACTAGATATCTAAGTAAAAGAATCTAACCTTTTACTAAACGTGCTGCTACAACGTACCTAATAGTACTATCCGCCACCAATGCGCCGGACGGACTTCACAACGCAATACCTACAACGGCTGATCAGCACTTGCAAAGCTTTAAGAGGAGATAATTATACAATATATAAGGAAGCTTAACGCGCGAGGCTTTGCCCCTATGCTCAGCTACGTACGAGAAATAGCCAACTAACTGCTAGCTGCCCGTAGTGGAGACCAAGTAGGGGAAAACTGGGCGTACAGGCTTGTACGCCGAGAGCTTGAGGCAAAATCTCAGATAACTAGGCAGCGCGATCACCAGAGAGTGTTGTGTAGCAATCTAGCTAGAATGAAGATACCTACAGCTTTGACAAGACAGGCTTCTAGATAGGCGTTAGAGGCCCTGTCAAGATGGTAACAGCGTCTAAGAGGCGCACTAAGCCACTTGGAGTTCAACCTAGCGATCGTGAGTGGGTGACGTTGATCGCTGGTATTGACAACGGTCGCGTACGGTTATGTACGATTACGAACAGTGCGCTTCCGCACGTGAATCAAAGCCGAGCTTATCTGGATCAGCATCCTAGGGCTTGGTCTACAACATTGGCCCCGACTACGCGCAGGGCATCTACGACATGCTGCCAACACCAGAAGTCCAATTCTCCGAAGTTGAGCAGTTGGCGTAGGACGCCCATGTGTGGTACAAGGAAAAGAAGTTTCAGCCGTCGACGGTAAACAAGCTGCAGAGCAACATGCTAAATGATCCTTAGTACAGCTAAAGCTATACAGAGGTGAGATTCGAATGGCTTGGAAAGCTACGGATACCTTGATGGCGTTCCTCAGCAAGAATAAGTTTGCAGAAGCATTCGGCGAGTTAAGTCTCCGAAACCATGCATCATAGTTGGCACCCATCGGAAACATTATAATAGTCACAATTCAATCTTAATTCTTCATTTGTTAGTACCATTTTTTTAATATACGAAAAGTCTCCGCCCCTTCAAACGTGCTTGGATATATAAGATGTCTATATGTATACATCACATAGCCAGGGCAACGACACAATACATGCACCACTCTAGGCCACATCCTCACACTAGTCTAACTACTATATAAATTCATCTTGCTCCAACTCACAATGCCCTCGCCAAATCAACAGCATACAACCACCTTGTGGCTCTGGCCGACAGGCCTGTTCCCGCGTCGAATCATCTACTACCTGCGCGCCAAGAACATCTCCTCCTCGATGCTTCACGAGAAAAACATCCACCTCATCCCCGTCGTTCTCGACAAAGGTGCGCCAACACCAGACCTCGTGTCCCGCCCCGGCCTCGAAGCCCGTCCAGCCGAAACGTCACTGCCTGTACTACGCATCACCTATGCCGATGGTACGATTTTTTGGATACACGAGACGAACGCGATCTTGGAATATTTTGAAGAAGAAGTGTTTAGCGTGGCCAATGGTTACCCAGACTTGAGAGGTGCAACGATGCAGCAACGAGCTCGGACGAGAGACGTATTGAGCTTACTTTCCGATGCAATAACTTGGAGCGGCATTGCGTTAGTCCATTCAGATTCGAACACGACGTCCTGGTCTGGCTTGACGACAGACGAAATGAGTAAGAGTGCTGCAATGCATGCGCGCGGCAAGTTTCACGCGTTACTGTCGCGGTTGGAGAACTGGGTACAGGGAGATGTTGTTGGCAGCGAAAGTAAGAGTTTGAGCGGTGCGGGGGCGAGCGTCACGTTGGCGGATTTATGTCTTATGGCACAGGTGGAGTACATGCGTGAGATGTATGGGTTGGACTGGGTAGGTGAACATGGGGTATTGAGGGTCTGGTGTGATAGAAGTCAGGGAGAGGGGTGGGTTATGGGTAGAGATGCGTTACGGGGGATTGAGGGTACGGGTGAATGGGCCAGGGTCCTTGGAGAGTGAAAGGCATGATAGTTACTGTTGTGGCTGCAGTAGCAATAGGAGATGCGACGACGGAGCCCAAACACTCTGGCACAATAGTTACAACAAAGAACAGCCACTAAGGGGCTTTCTAGCCAGTCCATCGCCGACCAACAATGCTTACGACGTCCCACATCGACGAGCCTTCGAGCCAAACGACACCACCTCCCCCGTGAATCGAGCCTCAGACAAACCCGGCATGCTACGACCAAGGTCACAACATACAGCAGTATATCAGAAAGCCTTGTCCACTGGTCCGCGCCTCAAGCATTGCGCTATGGGTTTACCCACGATTGGCCAGCTCGACAGCAAGGCTGTACAGAAATAGGGATACAAGTGATCACTTTGAAACCTAAGTATAGCTCCTATGCTGGTGAATTGCAGGTCAATCACGTTGCTGAGAGTGTTCACCTGTAACGGGCTAGAGCCCGGATGCTATAGTGATCCTCGGTGGAACCTTCGGAGCCTCCTCGGCATTCTAGAAGCTTCAAGATGCTACGCGAACGATAAGCTAAACGTATATAGATATCGCAGCACCATAGATAGGTTTTCTTCTTCATCGAATACAATCCTGTTACCAGGCATCGGCATACTTTGCGCAGCCCCTTACATCACCGAAGACATTGAATAGTGACACCGGGACGTAGATTCCTACGCGCTTCGACCGTCTAAGCAAGCCTCCCGTGCGTGCTCCCAGATCCAGGAAATGCATCGCGCTCCTCTAGCTCCTACCGCCTAAGCGTTCCTTCCGTACGTGACCCCAAATCCTGTCTTCTAGCCCCCGCCTAAGCAGGCCTCCCGTGGGTAGTTTGTCCACGTGGGTGGAAATCCATTGTGTTACGACCGGATCCTGTAACGTGTCTCACCACTCTTCGGCCCAAACCACTCCTCGGCCCGCCCCACCAAAATCGCGACGCGTCTTCTCACAACACTCACGATGGCGCCCCCCCACAACGCTCAGAGGCTCCAAAAAGCAGGTAGACTAGATCTATCGATTCACGCGATTCAAAATAGCCAGATTTCAAGTACTAGAAAAGCTGCGCGGCTATACGATATCCCTAGAACAACGCTTCGACGCCGTCTTCAACACGTACCTACACTACAGCAATTTAATACACAAAAACGCAAGCTATCCCCTACAGAGGAGCAGTCTCTAGTAGATTGGATCCTAGACCTTGACCGACGCGGATTTCCGCCCCAGATCATCGACGTACGACGAATGGCAGACAATCTACTCGCGGCGCGCGGCCAAGAGCCCCCTCCTCAGCCTGTTGGCAAGAACTGGATATCACGCTTTATCAAAGCTCAGCCAGAGCTCCAGACAAAGTGGAATCGCAAATTCCACTCGCAGCGCGCAAAATCAGAGGACCCAGCCGCGATCCGCGCGTGGTTTAAGCTTGTAGAGGAGACGCGTCAGTCGTACGGCATCCTTAACACAGATATCTAAAACTTTGATGAGACTGGCTTTATGATGGGGGTCGCTGCAACGTCAAAAGTCGTCACAAGCTCTGAGACTGTCGGCCGCGCAGTCACTATACAGCCAGGTGATCGTGAGTGGGTGACAACGATTGAGTGTATCAACGCAGCTGGCTGGTCTATCCCACCCTTTGTAATCCTGCAAGGAAAGCTCCACCAAGCTAGCTGGTATCGAGGCCTACCACCTAGCTGGGTTGTCGCAGTCAGTGACAACGGCTGGACGACTGACGAACTTGGCCTTGAGTGGGTAAAGCACTTCCACCAATATACAGAGGCTCGTACAGTAGGGGCCTACCGGCTGCTTATCCTTGATGGCCACAGCAGCCACGCTACGCCTGAGTTCGACCAGTTCTGTACAAAGAACAAGATTATCACGCTCTGTATGCCGCCACATACGTCGCACCTTCTCCAGCCACTTGACGTTGGCTGTTTCTCGCCTCTCAAGGTCGCGTACGGCTATCAGGTGTCCGAGCTTGCGCGACAACGCGTCTACCATATTGACAAGCAGGACTTCCTACAGATATATCTAAGTATCAGAGAGACAGTCCTCTCAGAGCAGAATATCCAGGCTGGCTTCCGGGCGACAGGGCTAGTCCCAGCCTGTCCAGAACGCGTCCTGTCGTCGCTGACAGTAGTCAGGACGCCGTCTCCGCCAGGGACGGCGGCCGACGCTGAGGTTGCATGGACAGCAGAGACGCCGCATACTATTGCTCAGCTAGAGCAGCAGGCTCGACTGATCCAGGGCCGCCTTAGTCGCCAATCCCAGAGCCCTACTACTCAGGCTATCCGCCAGCTTGTTAAAGGTTGTCAGCTTGCAATGAATTCTGCAACGATCCTTACAGCTGAAGTTAGTAAGCTTCGACAGGCTAGTCAGCGCCAGCAGCGTAAGAAGCAACAGCGCCGACAGTATATAGCCTGTGGAGGAGCTCTGCGGGTAGAGGAAGGTCAATTGCTTGCTGCAGAGGCTGAAAGGGTGCTCCAGCAGGTAGAGCAGGCAGGGCAGCCAAGCAGGCCTCGGGCACCACCAACCTGCACTAATTGCCACGAAAAAGGCCATAAACGGACTCAGTGTATTACTAGATAGCGCACATCTAATAGATCTATTTTCTATATTTTTTATTGCGTGGTTGTAGAGCTACTGTAAGAAAACGCGTCGCGATTTTGGTGGGGCGGGCCGAGGAGTGGTTTGGGCCGAGGAGTGGTGAGACACATTACTGGGAATCCCACATGGGTGAAGCGCCCAAGCCGCATAGCTCCCACCCGGCTTGCGCATCCCGTACGGGCAACCTCCGTCTACGGGCGCTTATGTCACATGGCCACTTTGCGAGCAGGGGAGATGATGATTATTAATCTAAGACCCGGAGCAGTTCGTGTACGGGCGCTTAGAGAACACGGGAATGGGCCCCACATAGGCGCCTAAAGGATACGGGAGTAACTCCCGAACGGAGACCTAGAGAATGCGGGGACCCAGATACCAGTTTTGCACCACTCTGCTCGCAAATCAGCCGTGCACCCTAATCGCCCATAGACGATGATCGCCCGTACGGGATGCGTAACTCGGGTTGAGCTTTGCTGCTTGAGAGCTTCTCCCATATGATCTATCTGCATCAGGTTTATGGTTGTACGTAGAGTGTTCGGCGATGCGACCGTGGTTCGGGCTAGCCGCTCCGCAGGGACCAAAGTCAAATCCATCCTTCCTCTATCCCGCTCTCCTCGACCTGCGAATCTAGCAGGAAACGTTCCAACGAGGAAGAGATAAGCATAACCTATGTTTGAGACGTTTTGATCCTGACTCAGCATAGGCTTGTGACCATACCAAGAAGAGAGTACTACATTCAGGAATTATACCTGTCGATCAGAGTTGGCAACAAACATGTCAAGTCAAATGAAGCCTCGCGAACGGCCCTACGGTTGGAGCGTGCACACTGTCACGAACAAGATAGCACTGCGTGGAGAGACTTGATTGGACTTAATTTGTTTGTTGCCAACTCTGCTGTCGATCTCACCGAACACTCTGAGGACTTCGATAAACTGTTGCCATCCCTAGCACTACGGCATGGCGACAGGACGAAAGAAAGCGAGAGCGTACCGATAAAGCGACGTGCATGCACCATCTGCGTGTATTCATATTTCTTTCCGAGTGTTGGGTCAGGAATCCTTAAAGCACAAAACCATGGCACTGCCACCCTTTCTAACAATCTTGCGACACTCGGTACTACGAGCCTATTATCGCATAAAGCATGAGCCCAGATCTGGTCGATTACGCACGCCGATGCGGTACTTTGCCCAACTGGCTGTTCGGGTGTATCAATGCGCAAGGTACATCTCGGCTCTCTCACCGCTTTGAGGGGATGTTGATGCCACCGCTCGCTTGGTGTATCGTCGCACATACATCATCTGTCCGTGGATACTTCTTTCGCGTCTTCAACACGTAAAGAGGAGATACGTGCTCACTGTCGCCGCACAGCCTCAATCTAGTGAGCGCACGGGCAAGGCTATGGGCTGATACGGAGCCAAGGTTCATGCAAGACAATGGTCACTTGGATCTCGGCCCGCTCCACACCCAGGGGGGCCAATTCCAGCGCGACGATATGTCGTTCCAGCTGCCCTCCAGCCCGTTGTTCAAGGCAGACTCCGGGTCTTTGACCCCATCGGGCCATGTTTACAATGCACTCATCGGTCATGATAACACCATTCCAATGGGCGTGATCGGATATGGGGGGTGAGCAGCCTCCGCGTCACTGTGGGTGTCACGGCATGAACTTCACATGCATACTCCTAGTCTCAATGGTGACATGTCCCGTAGAGAAAACCCGAGGGTGACTTGGAAGATGACCATCGCGGGAGGGGGGTCGTTCATGCGCAGCAAGAGCTGTAGTATCCATTGGTTAAGATTAACGATGAGGGGGCACAGCTCTTTGATACATCTCTGATGGGTAGATGATCACGAGGAGGTAGGTGGTCGTTTCGGGTGTCACACATCTACGCGCCTATCTACAAGCAGCGTTTGAGCGCGCCACTGGAACAGTACGAGCGTCATACTGACATAAGATGGCACTGCCAGTGGACCGGTACGGGGGACGTAACGGTACGCTGACCGGACTGGTCCCAGGCGGCAGGTCCCATGAACTGGTACGGGCGTTGTACTGGTACAACATAGCACGACCAGCGGACCGGTACGGGGGACGTAACGGTACGCTGATCGGACCGGTCCTAGACGGCAGGTATCATGGACTGGTGCAAGTGTACGCGCTGAGACGGAAGGTACTGGATTGACGCTGACTAAAAACATCAGCCAATAAGCGTATCGCTGCTGCCGTATTGGGCCACCGCTACGTCTAATATTAAGATCTCCCCAGACGCTATAACGTTTTGCAGAGTCGCAGAAGACAATTCTTACAAGGATCCTTGCTGACCCGAATGAAGGGCTTACCGAAATGGGAACAAGACAAGCGCCCAGACTACTTGGGATGCTGACAGCCAAAAGCTGGCTAAAGGTCTGCAACACCTAGTGTGACAACATGTTCATGGCGACACACTTCACTTGTCTTTCCTGGCTTGGGAAGCCGCATACGCTCAGATCAAAGAGTCGTCATGAGGTCGAGTCACACAGCAAAGACCACATGGGTCGATCTTGATTCCAACGTCCCAAGTGGCGCATGTCATTCCGAGTGGAGAATTCCCAGTGGTGCATCAGTCTCACTAGCCGTCGTGAAACGTCTGCTGTCAGTGTAAGCAGCTCTCTGGAGCACCTATCAGGACTAGCTGATTAGAGTACTGTACAGAACACCACAGCAAAACCAAGCATAAGCATGATTGCACATGTAGTCACGTCTAATGGCGGTGTTCAGTTTAGGCAGTTCAGTGACAAACCTCAAATCAGCGGGGCAGAGGCTGCAATTGCCTCTGGCACAGCAGCGCACGTCAATTCTGGGCGTCTAGCGTAAACTCATCGAGCTTCAAACGTAGATCCTAGCGTACTACAGACGTTGCCTTTTTACCACTTAACCTCCACTCGCCCTCCTAGTACCCACCCCGTTCCTAATGCAGTTTCCCTGCAGGAAATCTACCTGAGCACTCAAGCCACCTTGTCCCCCAAGGAGCCATCTCTCTCTCCGCATCTGTCACTCCGCGAAATTAGTGACACTGCCCCGACGGGAATGTGCCCACCTCGCCATTTACGTACTGTACTGTCTTATTTTGGACAATCAACAGTTTCTTTATAAAGCTTGCGCACATGTCCTCCGTCATGGTGCTGATGGACGTGTGTTGATGTGGATGACGTTGTGGCTGCCGTCCCTGGCTTCGATCGCGGAATGGCGGCAACACCATCAGCAGATCGCTTTCTTGCTAGCAGGATACGCTTTGGCAAAAGAGGACCCTCCCTGGTTATTACAGGCTCTACATGCCATGCACTTGGCAAAGCTCAAATCTAGAAATTGGAACGCTCAGGGCATCCCGGGACTTTCTGCTTGAGCATGAGAAGGTAGCATGTAGTTCATAGTCAACACATAATAATTAGATGAGCGCATCTTGAAGATAACGCGCTCTCAGACTAGCAGCTGAGCTTGATGCTTTGTGCACAGGCACCGCCTTAGTGTAAGAGGCAGAGTTGCTATCAGTCAATCAGTCAGTTGTCAGTTCATCTATGCGGCTCAAACTGTCAATCCGGGAGTAGTGAACTGACCTGATTGACTGCCAAGACCTTTTTGGAGTCGCAAACTGAAACTGAACTGACTGCCAAGATCGCTAACTTAGTGTTGCACTGACTGATTGATTGCTATCTGATTGCTATAGTCAATAGTCGTATTTACTAAGATAATCTTGTACTGCGGCGATCTCAGCTATTGTATGCCCTCCTGCTGGTGTTTTAAGACCTAACTGCCGCCAGCTCTTTAAGCACTGCAGCGCGTTAAGCAACTCAGGCTTTATTTGCAGCCGCCGCGTGCCTAGCATGTCACCAAGCTCGCTGAACGTACGCTCACAATCAGCAGCTGAGGCTGGTATTGTAAGCACGTTGATAGCAAACTTAGCAAGCGTTGGGTACTGCTGCGTCTGTAATTGCCAGTACTTAAGCGGATTAAGAGCCATCGGATCGTCCTCTGCGATCGCTGGTACGCGTTTCCACCGCTCGTACTCATCGCCAAGATGCTCCTCTACCTGCTTAACAGCAGCGTCTAATTGCAACTTTAGAAAGGCAGATCGCGACGCTGTTGGACCAACAACACGCACTCTCTTTGCCGGGCGCCTCTCATCGCTGTCGCTTGTCGCGCTGCCAACTACTGTTGCTTCTTGAAAGCCCTTCCACATCGCTATAAAAGCGCGATGATTGTTTGTAAGCCACCCATCGCGGTAGTGAGGGCCGTCGCGCTGCGTGTTGTGATCATCAGGCACTTTCCATAGTGCCTCGAGATGGTGCTTATAGTGTGGGTGGAGCACTGTAGCAGCGTAGTAGACAGGCGCGTCGTCAAACTTTAAGTAGTACTGCGATAGTTTCTTGTGAGCTAAGTTAACGTTAAGGCATAAGGTGGTCTTCTGGCGCTAACGGATCATTATAATCAATATCCTTTAAGCGCTCTTTAAGCGCTTCGAGCTCGTTAAGTAGCCACTCAAAGGTAATCAGAACTTCCCATATTGCGCCGTGGCGGCCGTGTTTACCGCGTCCCTCTAGCAGCTTAGAGGCCTCTGCGAAGGGCGCTAGAAGCCTCATATACTCCGTGATTGTTGCCCAGTCGCCAGCGTTTAGGCCACCCTTGCGCAGAAAAAGCCTAGGTTCCTGGAACACGCTATCGCTACCTCCAGGTCGCCGTGAGCGGCGAGCAATAACCTCGTTGTGACGACCCTCAGAAAGCTTATGCTCGACGTAGTTATCAAGCGGGCCTTGGAGCTCAACAGCGCGTACAAAGGCAGCAAAGTAGGAGTTCCAGCGCGTCTTAACTGGCCTGATTAGCTCTCGGAGGACAACAGGCTTACCCAGCGACTCAGCTTCAACTCTTTGGAGTTTCTGTAACAGCTCGCGCGACTGGGGCGTACAGATGGACGCGATAATATCAAATAGTACACCAATAGGCCCATATTGACGCCACTCTTTCATGAAAACCTCCTCGTCTTTAAGGCTGCCACCAGCGTTCTCGTATGCGTCGCGGTCTTTGCCCCATATGATAAGTTGAGCTCCAAGGTTGAGTATATGGCAGCAGCAGCGTAGACGCCGCTCAGAGGCGTCAAAGCCGTATATACCAGCCAGATGATGGACGGCAGTATCATTGTTGTATGCGTTGTCAAGCACAAAATAGCCCACTGACGCCTTGTCCACCCCAAAGTTTGTTAGCGTTGTTGCAACAACAGCGCCAATATTATTACCACTGTGCTGCCCATGAAGCTCTGGCAAGCCCAGAACAAAGTCCTGCACATCGCCCGCTGCGTCCATCAGATGTACGCAAATGCCCGTAAGTCCATGCTTGCCGCTGGTCGACGTCCAGTTATCGAAGGAGACATGAATAAGGGACCGCGCGCCGCTTAGGTAGCTTCGAACAGCAGGTATGTACGAGTGATACTCGGCAACAATCGCGTCGCGGAGAGACTGGTGGTTACGCCAAAGTACTGCCTCTGCCAACGGATTAGCAGCTCGAATTAACTGACGAAAGGTAGGCGTTTCAATAACGCGGAGGCTTTGGTTATCGGCAGCTATCCAGTCCTTTAGCGCGTCTTGAAACTTGCGCTTTGTAAATGACGATGATATCTCATTCGCAACCTCCTGCGACACCTCAACACCACTATCGCGCATGAGGCTGACGATTGAGCCCTGGTTAGGATCGCGGCTTCGTCGGAGAGGTCCTTGGGCACCAACGCTGTGGCCGGGCACACCTTTAGCTAGGTGAGTAGCTGCTGCTGACGTTGATCCAGCGTCGTACTCGCCCCCAAGTTTCTTGTGTATGTGGCAATAGAAACAGAGCCAGTAGTTACGATGTTTGATACGATGATATACTGGCCAGCCGTACTTGTATATCCAACTTGGGGCACCTCTAGCGTGCTCTTTCTGTCGCCTCTCCAGGTACGGGACCCGTGACCAGTCTAAGCCGTCAAAAGAAGTATCATCAGCCTCATCTATGGCCTCGCTGATTGGCGCGTCAATCGATTGGTTAATGCGATCAAGCTCGGTGTTGTTGTCAACAGATGGCGTGACCGACGCGTTCGCAGGTGGATCTCCGTGTTTATCGCGCTCAACAAGTCGGCGGAGGCTCTGATTCGATTGCTGGGTCATATCAGCACCAAGAGAGACTGGTATAACCCGTAAGTAGGCGCGTCGATAGATGGTAGCGTTGGCGTAGAGTTAGGATTTAGAGCGTTGCGCGATTGAGCTGCAACACTAAGGTTTGGCGCTAGCCGCTTACAGAAACTATATCAACAGCCTCACTAACAGCCTCATCAACAGCCTAGAATAAGCCTCCGCAACACTATGTATCAATCTCATATCAGTCAATCCAGTCAGTTTAAGAGTTCTGAACTGAACTGACTGATAAGACGAGAGCTCCAAACTGACACTGAACTGACTGCCAAGCAATCAGTCAGTCAGTCAGTCTCATCAGTTTGGATTGATTGTTAGCAACTCTGGTAAGAGGCGCGGTATATAAATCACGTAGGCAGTAGACGTGTGTATGCAGGGTATTACACCGCGAGTGATCTAATTTTGACGCGTACCTGAAGATCAAGCCACGGCGCGGTTCAGAGAGCAAGGTTGCATTTCGGTGATTGGCCGCGGAACTGTATTTCGAAAGATTGGCAGCCGCGAAACAACGTGCAACATGTACGCACGCGCATGCACCCCTTGCCATGGTACACACATCATACTGACGACACTGAAAACCTGAAGTTTCTTGAACGTGGCTCACAATGCCGTGAAACTCTTTTGAGATGATGCACTGCCATACCAAGACCGTTTCCCGAGTCATTGACGTCGTGGTGAGCCCTTGATCCAATAGGATCATGCGGCTCAGTCTTCGTGACAGCGAAAGGCCAAATAGCTAGGGCGTTTCTTTCAACCTTGCTGTCTTTTGTCTCTTGTGAGTTTTCTATTTACTACAGAATAAGTTGCCGTTATGATAGCAAAGATGAATGGAGTCAATGGACATGCAGAATGTGGGGAAGTCGACGGGGTACTTGTCTACTCGATCCACAACGTACCCGTTACCGAAGAAAGGAGACCATATATCAATGGCAAGAACTCTCGTCTTCAGCACGCAGGTATGCACATACAAGTCGTGCTACTACTGCATCATTTTGACTAATTGCAAATAGCGGTTGCGCGCGCAAACCTCGCTCCGTCAGAAGAATCGCCACAAGGCAGCACACAAGACAACTGGGCAAAGAAGCACTCGCACCAAACTGTCCTGCAACAACACTGCGACTTCTTCGACCGCGACCACGACGGTATTCTCTGGCCGCAAGACACCTTTGTCGGCTTCTACCGCCTAGGTTGCGGTCTTTTCTTCTCTGCCTTCGCCGTCTTGATCATTTACATCAACTTCTCATATCCCACGTGCTCAGGATGGCTTCTGGATCCCTTCTTCCGTCTTTTCTTGCAAAATGTGCATAGAGCGCGACATGGTAGCGATACTGGAACGTATGACACCGAGGGAAGATTCATTCCGTCGAAATTCGAAGAGATTTTCACAAGTATGCCGATGGGCGAGATTATCTGACAGTAGAAGATTTGGTGAATGTGTTGAAGGGGCAGAGGAATATCAATGATCCGATCGGAATGTGTGGTTTTATCTTCGAGTGTAAGTTTAGCCATCCTTGAGTGGTATGAGAGGGGAAATGCTAATCTCGAATATGGACTGCGACATATATTACGCTTTGGCCTGAAGACGGCCGGATGATGAACGTATGCAACATGTTAGAACATCTGTTGGTTTGCTCTCGATGCTAACAACCACAAGGAGGACATCCGCGTCGTATACGACGGCAGTATATTCCAACGAATCGCTGATAAGCGCGAGAAAAAGATAGAAGTGAAGAAAAAGAAGAGCCAATGAGGAGAAGGGCAGTGTGCGCCGTGAGACTGGTAGTAGATATTGCTGCGCAAGCCTAGTGCTGGATCAAGAACTTCGTTATAGACATGGCTTGATGTGCAATACCCTATGATCGTAACGTGTGTAAGAGTGCTCGGAACCCGCACCCGAAAAAAGCCCGGGTTCTAGACCCTTTCCAAGTTCCGATCCAAGTTCCGATTGAGGCCGTTGCAGCGCATGCCGAGACATCGTCGATCGGCTTATTCTGCCGCTCTAGGACAATAGTTCGCCGCATTCTCGATTCGAATATACAAGATAGAGCTAGATGGCGCAAGAGATTTCCTACAGCAAACGCCGGCTGCCTGCTTGTGCATAAGGATATGCTATTGGCTCGGTACTTCGATCCGGCTGCAAGAGAAATCCGTAAGAGATTGCCATGGTGACCAGGACGAGTGGGGTGCAAGGCCGCGCATGGTGATTGGGCACCGGTGAGCAAATCACCTGTGTCAGAGTAGGAGGTTCATGCGGTTCTTGAATTGTGGCAAAGGGTTACATCAGAGTAGGAGATTCATACGGTTCTCGAACGTGTGTGGACGAGTGGATGTAGGGAGGGAAAACTCACTGTCCAAGACATTGAGGGCCAAAGTCATGACTGGCATTGTGGTAAGTATATCGTATATCGTATATTGTATCTGATGTTGATTGTAACTTCCATCTCATCTCATCTCATCTCTACCAACCCATCTCCGCGGTTAAAACACAATGCTTCGCCACGTCCTGGATGCCCTCTCTTGCTGAGTTGGTTCGGCAGTATCATTAGGGAGCTTGAGGTCACCCATGGACTGCAACAGCCGATTCAAACGTTGTTCGGTAGGATCCGAGGTAATTGACAATACATTCACAGGGTACTCGCCATGCACGTGCTCCGTCATCGATTGTTCCCTCTTGTCTTCGTCTTTGATGTGCGCCCAGTCCTTGAGCAGCTTAACATCCACAGGATCCATCTTGTCGCGCAGAATGCGGAACACGAGTTCAGCCAGGTAGAAGTTTTGGCCTTGATCGCGCAAGCCTTTGGCGCACAGTATGAGTGTGGCTCTTGTGGCTTTCATTATGGCTGGGAACTGCTTTTGTTGCGCTTCCGGGGAGCGCAGACGCTCTATCGAGTCGAAGCCCAGCTGGACGAGGACCTGGAGCAGAAATATGTAGTATGCTTCGAAGCCGTGACGATGGTAAAACATGTGAAGGAGTGTCTGGAGACTCGCTTTGGAGGCGGTATACAATCGTGCCGGACTGAAGCCAGCATACTTCTGGAACGCTTCTCTGTCGTTGGGCTGGTTGAAAGACGTCTCGTGTTCCAGGAACGGATGGAAAGTCATAGTAACGAGGTTATGAAACTGCATACTGTGACCCAAATGTTAGTTATTCGCACGCGGAATATACGTCAAAGCTTACTGTAGGAGAAGCTGTGTCGGCATGGCAGCATTCTGGGGCTGCAGCGGGTCCGGCAGATCACGGAACCATTGAAACAGCATAGCATGATAACGACCGGCCTGCTGAAGATCAAGTTCGTTCTGTCCGTTGTTTTCTTGAAGAGCCTTTCCAGCTATATCATTCATGATACATCTAAGCTTGATGAGCGACAGGAAAGTCTGACCCAGATAGGTAGGGGTCTAGTAGCTTGTCAACAGAATTGCAAGTGAGAGGTATGTCATGACATACCAGATGTTTCACAAGAGGGTATTTGACCCAAATCTCGCCAAAGAAATTGTGTGCGTCTCGATAATCGGGCAGGCCATCCTCGGGCGGAATTTTAGAGAGTGGTGGCTTCATGAGGTAAAAACAAGAGAACCTGGGACCTATATCAGAGCCTATCTCTATGTCACGTGGGGAAGAAGAAAGTTCGGGTGAGCTCATACGCTTGCTGAGAAAAGATGCCCCAAGCTGTGATGGTTCTTGAAACGCGGTCCTTTTCGCTTTTGTATTTCGCGGCCTTGTCAAACAAGTCTAGTCTATCCGCAAGCTCCAGGGCGTGAGACCATGTCGTCCACCCCATTTTATCCATACCATTGGCAAAGTATATTCGGCCTAAGATGGTGGCTGCTTGGGCGGATGAAAGGCTACACACATTCTGCGACTGTTCTAGCTCCCACAGCCGTCTGGTCTCGGCCATGCATCGATAGCTATAGGTGTTGAGGTTCCAAAACTCAGCCCTCTGCTCGAGCGTGGACAAGCCGTGCTGTTGACAGGTCAATTGGCAATTGAGGGAATGTAACAAACCAAGGTAAACACTTACACAACCCGCCGTGAGAATGGCATTAACAAGTAGCGGTGAACAGTAATCAGTCTCTCCAGTGGTCATGTCATCGAGGAAGTGATCTTTGTGGAAGCAGGGCCATAGCGGGAACTCGTACAGGAAGTAGCACTCGAGAAGGCGGGTGAGAAAGACGTCGTCGTCGCTTATCGAGGTCCACCTGGACGGCCTCAGGGAACCTGGGGACATTCGCGGATCGTACATGCGGGCGCCGTGATAGGGCACCTGGAAGATGGCGTGGTATGTCTGCTCGTGTATCTCGGTGCCATGGTGGGGTGTCTTGTGCGACAGGGCCTTGTACAGCCTCGAGGTGAGGTAGGGGTTATCAGTACCGTCAAACAGCGGCATCATGTCAGCGAGATAGGGGGAGGTGAACTGGTAAGTCGTGTCTGGGACCAGCATGAGCTGGAGGCGGAGGCTGCCATATTCGATGAAGCGTAGAACGGTGTGCACATCGGTGCCGCGACGAAGTTGGCTGAGGAGCTCATGGGCGACATCAAGGGGTTGGGAGCGCAGGTGGGCAAAGACACGCTCGAGTGCACGATTGGGGTGAGGGTGCATCTGGCCATGGTGTCTGCGCCTGGCAGCCACGGGCCGGGCCGGAGACTGAAGGGCGTAGTTGCATGGCGTGTGCCGCTTCCGGCACTCTGAGCACTGGGGACGTTCGGTCGAGCACTGGACATGTCAGATTAGATGCATGGATTTGTGGGTGGACTTAGCTCGCGCATGATCAGCAACGGCTTTACCTTTGTGATGCGGCCGCGACAAGCTTCGCATGCTCCTGCGCCCACGATCTGTTGCAGGCTCATGGCAGGATGACGCCGAAGAGAGGCCGCGCGCTGGCCGTAGAAATTGGAGAGGGGCAGATTCTTGTCCATGTACAGTGGCTCACCTGTCAGACACTGGTGGCTCCGCGTTCTGCAATCTGTTATTATACGTGGGTGGTCCAGGGCTCCAGGAGTTTCTTCCTCTCGCCTACGAGCCTGCCTACTTGTATACAACATGACGTCGTGATCTGGCCGCCCCATTGGCCACGGCTCAATCGCCCTCGCCTAATCAGCGCCTTCCTCATCTCGAAAACTACCCGGCAATGCCTTATATGTCGCCGCATAGAAGCCTGGCGCTGGAATGCTCCCCCATTCCGTCACCAGGACGCATTTCTCCGCTGTTCGGTCAGACTTCGACAAGTATACTGTGTACACGCTCCAACAACTTGCGCAGGCGTCTGCGCATGTGCACGTGCACATGCCCTTCAACTTCTCCTCTACCACTGCCAGGTTCAACGACCACCGGAAAACCAAGGGCTGGCTGCAGGATAAATGGACGACGGCCACTATCCGTCTGAGGGCTCCAGCTCTAGAGAGCCAAAGGTGGCCATACCAAGAATATGCGGCAAGAACTACGAGAAGCCGCCCGCCATACGAACGCCTCGGGTCCGTAGTGAAGTAGTGAGCAAAGCCGTAAGTAAAGGCCCAAGACTATTGGGCCGGCGCTGACTTCCGCTAGTGTACCCAGTGTCGCAAACGAAGTGGGCCCAATCCGTGTCCATATCGCCAAAACTTCAGCTTGCTGACTGCACTTAGAGATCAAATGCTCTGGCAATCGTCCCCGTTGCGTCAACTGTCAAAGGCAGGGCCATGAATGTCACTACGACCTAGAGCGTAAGGACCGCCTCAGAGGGTTTGTCCATGCTATTGTCTATTTGCCGCCCATCTTCGTCTGACTTGTAAAAAAAGAGCCCAGCGCAAATCGCACGCCTTGACCGAACTCTTGATCGATGTCAGCAGCCAACTCAATGACGAGAGCAAGAAGAGAGTCGAGGATACGTTGGCATCTTTCGAAGATGACACGCCGCCTCCTCCGCCAACCCCTACGCTGTCGCATGGCAAGCGGGCAAGAAGAGCTTCATCATCCCATGCCAACGACGACGCGCTGAGCGTCACCTCTGCAGACGGCGGAGAGGGTCACGTCTCGGCTTCCGTCGGCTCCAACGGAGACTTGGATTTCATCCAGGAGGACATTCTCGATGCCGATGAGGCAGAGAACACGGGCTACATGGGCCGCACCTCGCACGTCCAGTGGCTCCGAGCGCTTGAAACCAAGATCGAACAAACCGAAGGCGAGCCGTCTGATATGCCATACGGGCCGCCCGGGACCGAGGGAGACGCCTTCAACCAGCGTGCTGAAGCGCTCCGTAGGCGTCAACACCACAGCGGCAATCGGCAACCTCCCGACAATGACCAATGCTCCAGCTACTACTTTTATCTTGACAAATCCGACATCGACATCGACATTGATGATCCACACATCATACCTGCTGCTGATACGGCCGAGACTCTGTTTGAATACTACAAAGCAGTCGTCCACAGCCCATTCCCAATCCTAGGTGACATGTTCGAAGCTCAACTGCAAATGTTCTTCACGAGGGATCAGGGTAGCCCTACATTCGTCGTGGGTCCAAAATGGAAGGCTATCATGAATCTTGTTTTCGCCATCGGTGCACGCTACTCACATCTCATCGGCGCCGAATGGCGAGCCGACGACCACGACCATCTGGTCTATATGTGGAGAGCAGTACATCTCTTGGAACTCCAATCTATCAGCACTTTAGTCGCGCAGCCCGATCAGGTGCTGATACAGGTAGGCTCATTTGACACACTGAATCGAACGGCGCTGACATCTGTCTAGGCATTTGGGCTTCTCTCCTTATACTATCTGACGATTGGACATGTTAGCAGGTACGTCTCACTGCGAACAGCATCAAAACCAAGTCGGCTATGCGACATGTGCGCGTGCTGACAATGAGGTTGCAGAGCTTGGTACATGATTGGTATCGCTCTTCGCCATGCACAAGCCGCTGGTTTGCACCTTAGACATGAGGATCCTTCCATCTCTCCCAGGAGAAAGAAGTTTTTAGCCCAGATCTGGTGGTCACTTTATTCTATTGAATGTGTACTTACTTCCATAACCGGACGTCCCCGCATTGTGAGCCCTATCGACTGCACAGTACCGCCACCGGGCGCGAAAGGGACCGAAATGGCAACCCCTTCACGGGAAACAACTACATCATCCGCATTTAGCCGAAGGTCCGAATCTTCCGCCAGTGAGCCCACAGCCAATGCAGGTGTAGATCCATTCAACGTAGCCTACGTTAGGCTCGATATTCTCATGGACAAGATATTGTCTGGCTTGTACTCCGCACAAAAGTCTGCCAAGTCCTGGAAGGCTGCTCAGAAGGAGATCGCTTCGCTTTCTGACGAACTGGAAGCCTGGGCCTTACATTCTCTGTCTCGGGGTTCAACCGCAGCAATTGCCGCTAGTTCAGAGCACGGTCTGAGTCGAGAGCAGCTGCTGCTTTATCTGTACTATCACAACGCGAAGATCTGCATCACTCGACCCTGTCTATGCCGGCTGGACCTGCGCATAAAGGGACAGAATGAAGAGTCGACTCGGTTCAATCAGAAGGCCGCTGAGGCCTGCATAGGTGCGGCTCTAGATATTACCTCCATGTTGCCAGACACACCAAACACCGCGTGGTTTTATGGGAACGGTCCGTGGTGGTGTGCTGTTCATATCAGTAAGTGCCCCAGACCTTGCAGCAAGCGTCCCGGCTAACCATCATGCCTAGTCATGCAAGCCCTCACGGTCTTACTTTTTGAGCTATCGTTGGACGGTATCCATTTGACGATCGATAAGTCACATATCACATCCTGCGTCGATAAGCTTATCCGATGGCTAGGTTCGATGAAGTCCCTTGACGCAGTCAGCGAGAGCGCATACAACGTTGTGGCTAGAGTCTTGAATAAGCAGAGCAAACAAGAAGCGGCTCATCGGCAACTACCCCAGCCACAGCCGACTGATCCCTACCAACAGCCACACGACGCGCAAGATATAACCCTTGACCCGCAGCAGCAGTACCAGCCGTACAGTCAGCCTCTTAAATTGCAACAGTCATATGTTGCATGGCCAAGCGCTGACCCATTCGATAGCAACAGCTTCTACCCTCAGTCCAATACAGACAATTTCTATCTCAACGACGTCTCTGGGTTTGAATACCTGAACGATCCTAACGCGGGGCTGATGGATTTCGGCCAGCCACTCAACCTGTTCTATGGAAATCCTTACGAGGTGACTTTCGATCAATGGGAATAGGATCCGGCAGCGTCTGAGGATCTCGATCTGGGACAGCAGCAAGGTCCCAGTGGAGGTCAAAGCAGGTATCAAGGGTATAGGCATGGTTAGCTATTGCGACGCTTTCTGCGAACGCTCGAATCCCCATGCTGGGACATGTTGGTGAATTTTGATGGGGCACACGGAACGGAGAAGGGTGAAGAACAAACGAGGAAGCACGCAGAGCACATGAATATCATTTTGACCCGCCTAGGTGATATGGCGGTCGATAACTGATGCGCATGGCAGGACCCCAGTCAAAACTCTGTTACGCGCCGCCACGACTGTAGCATTGCGACAACCAATCTATTCATACTTGTGAACATATGAGGAGGAGGTTGAGGAAGTAGTTGGTTGATTGATAGAGTCTATCGAAGAGAGCGAATATATGTCCTCATGTTACATAATCAGTGATGAAACGCACTATCTCCACGTAGGCGTAGATGCTGACATTTAATAAGGCGAGAGGTGGCCCGCGGTCACATCAGCTTCCAACATGCATTCGAACCTGAAGGGAGGGTGTAAGCCTAGGACCACATTACATCACTGGAGGCCAGCCATGATTAATCAGGTCTGCGTACTATCGAGCTCAGAACGTATACTTGTACATACACACATGAATACACTCATACACGAGACCCAATACACACACCACCCTTGCTTACACTAACAAAGTCGATGAGGTCCATGACTTTGTCTGTTCGGCTTGCTGAATGCTTCTTGTGGAACCTTTTCTGATATTCTAATGCGTACGCTTCACTCCCATTAACGCAAGCGCTGCCAGAACATGCTCTACTCTCATTACCGAACGTATGGAGTAGTGAAGCAGGCAGCGATGTGACAGAGTTAGTGATTTCTGTAGACTCACTTAATCGGTGCATAAACCCGCTAAGATGCGTTGAAGTTGAAGCAAGCAGTACACGTAGGCAGACCAGGGCCTGAGCCAAGGCCAAACCGATACTTGGACTAAAGGTCACGTGTCCTGAAATTTGACAACTGCTCGGCGTGGCGCCAGTTTCCATGCATTATGAAACTACACTCCGATCATCCGCCCCTCGAGGCAGTCGTTGAGAAACGCCAGCAGGCCCGAGTTTCAGGGTATGGCCACCAAAATCGATCACTTAATCACTAGTTTCTCTACCAGCTTTCTCATCATCGAAAGTAGAGTCCTGGGTCAAAGGAATTTTGGCCCGAATCTCTCAGCCCTTAATCACAAGTACGGCGGGGACCACACTCAGCACGAGTCCGATAAATCCAAGCAAGCTGCCAGCCCCACCGACTTCCAAATTTGTGAGTATGGAATATGACGCGAGGGGCAAGAAGGCGCCAAAAGTATTACAACCGGGTGAGACTGCCGATAGCACCAAGGCAGCGTACTTCTCGTACGAGTCTGTAAAGTAGTCGACAACACTTATGTAGACTGAGTAAAGACCGACTCCGACAACGCAAACTCCAATCGCAGGCACAATCCAGTAAATGTAAGGTCTCGAACTCCAGCCATACAGGAACAGACCGCCTGTAAATAATAATGAACCAGGGATGCTGGTATACAAATCGTGCTTCGAGGATTGGTTTGCCCGAATTTTAGTTGTTCTTAGATGCTGTGCGGAAATACAACCAGTCCTGTAACGGATTAATGAGAGTTCCAACAAGGGCACCGACGGAAATAGCAAGCTGTACAAGTCCGGTTTGCATGATGTTCTAGTTGTATTTGTCGCCAAAAGTCTGAACTGCGGAGGAGAAGAAGAAGAGGTAGAGAATACTCTAGGCGAACTGATCTACAGACTGAAAGTGTAAGCAAGGAGGGTACTAGTATTGAGTCTCTTGTATGGGTGCATTGATGTATATGTGTGCATTGATGTATAGGTGTGTACAAGTGTGCGATCTGAGCTCGAAAGTAGTCGGACACACTAGTCATGCCTGCAGAGCAGTCGTGTGATGTGGTCCTAGGCTTACAAAAAGATATGACGACAGGTTCGGTTGGCAGCATCTTCGTGGGCCGCATGAACGAGATTTTCAGGAGCTTGGCGATAGACGGTTTATCGAGTTCGGACTCTGCGTAGATATCTCAGCCAGTCTCCTTTCGAAGCCTTTTTGCGAGTTTCTTGAGAATTACGTCACTGCGCATCTCTCCGAGGATGATATAGAATACCAGTATCAAAGCCGCGTTATATATGACCTGCATATAATAGATCCTGGAAACATCTTAGTGGGATAGCCGAGAGAAGCAAAAGTACATACCATCGCCACGATGCATGCAGACCAATATTAGATTTGTTGATTTGAACGATCGCACTGCCAACGAATAGACCAAGAGCAACCCCAGCTACACTTGTCAATCCGAAAAGCAACATAGGTAGATCTCGCACTTTATCACCTTTCCAAACATTACTGACACTGCCTCTGACGATTTTGGCTACAACAGAAGATGCTCCACCGCCTAAGAACCGCGTTACAACGAGAATTGGGAAGTTGTTTGCGAAAGCTGAACCGAAGAGAAGAAGTTCGAAAAAAATGTACGCACCCTCGACAATTGTTAGCGGAATTTTAGAGAGGACGGTAAGACTGTCACAAAATAGCCAGGCATGCATCCTGATGCTTCCGTCAGCGGAACGAAAACAAGAGAAAACAACGCACCGCCTATGTTCTAGCTGCAAGTGGCCCAGCTAAGATTTGGAAACGGCTTATTTCGAACGTCGAACTCCTCAACCGTGTAATCATTTGCAGCACCATAAGCGCCTGCTGGCAAACCTATCAAGATGGAGATGAGGTAGACGGTTGCCGTGAGGACCCATTTCTTAGTAAGAGACCACTTGAATCTGTTTTCAATAAGCCATGTACCGCGAGACAGACAATGAGCCGTACGGATGCTCGAGATCATCTGATCCGTTCCAGGTATGAAGTTCGACCTCCTTGCTGTCCTTTTCTCAAGTCTCTAGTTTGCGTTCTGAAGATCGACTGTGATATTCTACGGTGCTAGAAAAAGAACTCCCGTGTTGAGGTTTGTGTTCCGTGGGACGTTAGCCAATGAATCAAGTTTGCGGTAGGATACTATAGCATCGTTTACTTTTCTCTTCGCTCGATGAGGATGGGTTTGACATAGCCGCAAGCGAGTGGGTTAGAACAAGACAGAAGTGAGTCAAATGGACGAAGATATCGAGCTCAGACGACATTCATCTTGGGAAAGTACGAAGAGGCTAGTATTGGGTGATGCACCGACAAGAGTGCACTGACCACCAACATCGGTGCATCGCCCACAACTAGCCTCTTCGTACTTGATACTAAACGATACGATCGGCAAAAGCACGTGACCTCATTGCAGACTTTTAGCACTAAGAAACTTCAAAGCCGTTAAGAAAATACCATCACGGTGACGTCTCCGTGGAACCAGTTTGTGGGCCAACGCATTTACTAAGCCGATTGGCAGGAATTCCAACAGACCTTTAATAAAACATGACGGAGGGTCTAAGTTTATCTAGGCTCTTCTCACTGCCTGCTGAGTTCGACAAGGGAGTGGTTGATAACAAGGTAGTTTTCCGTGGCGCTGTTCGCCCCATTTGGACGCAGCCAGATGCCTTCAAATGCAACACGACATGCCGCTTCTACCGCTTGTGTGACGTCAGAGGCACAGGGTCATATCCACAAATCATCTCCAAACGTGACCTTGAGTGTGCCTGGCCACAATCTGATTGACCAATTCATTTTAGCCCCCAGCCCTCCCCACCGTGTCCGTGCACCCAATGCGCGGCGAACAGCATATCACCCCAACTAAAAATGAGGCTGCGAAGCCACCCACAATAGCTTTTATCACGAGATTTTGTGTTGGAGTACTTACTTGATGCATGCGAGTTCATGTTACTTATGTTTGCTTAAAAGGCTCCTTTTGCTAACCACCCACATCTCCACTTGCGCTCTAAGACGATTATCTTCCGAGCCTTTTTGTTCTTTCAATTCTTTTTTCAACATTCTACTATCTAGTTTAGCAATATGAGACACCACCTCGCCCAGGAGCAGGGCTTGCCTAAGCCAAGCACCTATGTACGACATGTCTTAGATGTTAGGACCAGAGAAGATACAATTAAATTGTATGATAGACGAATCGCTACCGATATGGAATCGATCTGGAAGGGATTATATACCCCGGATCCCATGACTGACCCGGGGTAACCTAGGACTTGCCATTAGCAGAGATGCCAACAAACAAGCATTTTGATTGACTTGATTGATTCTTGATCCAAAAGCTCAAACAAGTCAAGATCAATTCGCCTATAGCGTTTTCTCAATCAAGAACAAATCGAGGCCATATTTTTGATTGACTTGATTGATTAGCTTGATCATGTGCTAACTGTAGCGCGATTTTCAAGGTATTTAATGAGATTGCTAGGCTGTAGATAATATCAATAGAGCGATGGATTAGTGGTGTTGAGTTTCGATTAGTAAGCAACCTTCTAATTCAGCTTACCCTGCAACATACTATCAGCGTTTAACATCAGCCTATATCTTATATCAGCGCCTATCGCGATCGTTATTTCTAAGTTCCTTACGCGCTGTAACTATCCGTTATGCCTCTAAAGGCCTCTAAACGCGCTGCTAATCGCGTTGCTGCGTCAAATAAACGCGTCAAAGTCAACAACTCTCAATCGCAGTCTGAGCTGCCTGTACGAACCTCACCGCGCAAAGCCCTTAAGGTTGCAGCTAGCCAAGCTACAGACGAGGCTCCGTTCGAATCGCAGCTGCGCAACCTGCTGCCCGATAACGCGATTAATCCGCCAACCGAGGGCTCACGAGCTGCTACAGAGGCTTCAACTGAGGCGTCTGATAACTACGATGGAGGCGAGCTCGATAGTCGCTTTGAGGATAGGCACGATGGCCTCGATTGGGCTCATATACCGCGGTTTATGAAGCCGCTGAGGACGCTCAAGGGCAGGAAAAGCTGGATCTTTGAGCACGGCTATCGCCTCGCCTTGATAGCTAATCCGCAG